GAATTGAGCTAAATTGGAGGAATCTGTCTTGCGTGCACAGAGAATTGGATGATTGCTCAGTGAGGAAGATCCCATACATCTGCTGCTGGAAGTGTTGGTGCGTGAAGAGAAACAGACTTCTTTTTCCTTTTTCAGGCCCTATTTCGGTGGAGGCCACGGGAGGGCCCTGGGGGTCTGAGGCCCCAGGCCTCCCTGGTGGTTCAGGAGCTGGGTCTCTGGGGAGTGGGAGCCCAGCTCTAGAAAGGAGTTAGACACACAGGGAGCACCCAACAAATGTGTGCTCAGCAGATTTTGTTTTTGCCCCAAAGTTGACTTTGTTCATACCTGAAATGTCAAACACTCATAGCGGGCTGCCGCACATTACCATTCCTGAGGAAGGGGGCCCTCCCCTTCTGTGGGGGGTTGGGGGGGCTGGAGGGGGAGCTTAGAGAGGGTTCCTGTCAATACATTTCATGGTTCTTGTTCATTTCATCTGCAAGACAAGGGGGGCAGGCAGGGCCCAGACTCACTAGGGAGGAGGGTGGGGTAGCCAGTTGGGAGGGGCTGCTGGCCTCAGGCCAATGGAGGGGTCCCCCATCTTCTCCTGACCTGACCTACACCTCTCCCAAGCCATCCGGTGTCCCCCCGGTAAGTCATGTGCACTCCACCCTACCCCAGCCAGCCTGGGGCCAGTGCTAATCCCAGGACTGCTCCGACCTACTCCATGGGCTGGTGGTCTCTGCAACAGTGGTACCCGCGGCAGGAGACACACAGTGGGCCGCACTGTCACCCCAGGCTGACCCCACAGGATGGAGACGGGGACGGGACTGTGGGGCTCAGAGTCCTATGCTGACTGGGGCAGGAGCCAGAGAAAAGACAGGGACCCCTGAGAGAGCCTGCCCCACCGAGCTCAGTGGGAAGAACAGGCTCCAAGGCAGATGCTGGCCCTGCTCCACCCTCTTCAGTGACCAGGTGGTGGCCCCGAGGTGGTGCCTTGGCCACTTTGAACCCTACTTCCCGCAGGGCCCAGGGACCGCACCCTCCACCCCAAGGCTAGTGGAAACCCTCACAGGGTGAGCTGGACATGCAGCAGAGGCTCTGGTGGCGTTGCCCTCGGACTCCCCCAGCACGGCTCTGGCCACGCCTGGGACCCCCAGCAGGGGTTGGAAGCCGAGGGGTCCCTTGGGTCACCTGAGAATGCCTGGCCTGTCGCTGTGAATGCCCCATCCCGGGGGTTGGGGGGGGTCTCAGCCCAGGGGGAAGTGGTGCCCCTCCCCACAGATCCCTGGGGCCTTTAGTCATCCTGGGGGCGCCTGGTCAACAGGGGGAAATGACCAGGGTCCTGGTTCCCATCCCAGAGCTGGTGGCTGGGCGTGGCCAGGCCTGGCTGAGCGTGAGGGGAACTCGGGTCTCAGCATGGTGACAGCCACCTTGGGCCCTCCTCCTGCTGCCATCACCCCAACATGTCAGAGCTCAGCCCTGTAGGGAGGACACCCCACACTGTCTTCTTTCCTACATACTCCAGCTCCCAGACCTCAGGATGGTCCCCAAAGGCCAAGGACAGGCGTCAGCCTTACAGCCTGAAGGGTTCACCTGTACAAGAGCCTGGGTGCTGAGGGTCCTGGAGCCTGTGCGGCTGCCTCAGGCCCATTCTCTGCCGGGGTCTGCGGAGGTCCCATGACCCGCCTGGCCTCTGGCTTAGGAGTCACCTCTGCAGGCCTGGGGGTGTTCACATCCCCCTCAGGACTCTTTGCTGGGGGACCAGGCATGGGGGGGGCCCTCACTGCCCCCAGGCCCAAATACACCAAGAGCCACCATAGGCTGCTCTCTATCCACCCCACATCCTGTTCTCCTGGGCCCCCCCCGCCAGGAGGGGGGTGGGGAGGTGGCAGAGGGAAGAGGGAGGTCTGCCTGTCCTGCCTAGGGATGGTGACCGCTTCTCCAGGGGTCAGCTTCCTATTCCTGGACATTCTGGGGAAACTGGCCTCTGAGAAACTCCAGTGGCTGCCAGCCTGTTCCCCTCCCTTCTGCCCCCTCCTCCCCACCCCCTCCCACGCCCCCCCCCCCCCCCCGGCTTGCAGTCCAAGGCTTGGCCCATGGGCCCCTCTCCTCTGCTCCCTGGGTCGTCTGGGGACACCCACCAGTGGCCCCCTGCCCCCTCTCTTCCTGTTCCCTAGGCAGTTTCATCTAGATGCTCATAATCCTGACACCCCTCTCCCATTTTACCGCTCCCAGCAGGACTCGGGGGAGGCAGCCTTAAGTGGATGCTCTTGAGGACAAAGTACAAGCGGACACCCTGCAAACCCCGTCCCCCACTCCCAGGTGAGACACTTGTGACATTCCTCGGGGCACTCGGGGCTGCCCTAAAGCTAAGGGAAGGAAAAACCAATGGTTAACTTACAAAGATTACAGTTCAGCCAAGACATGAGTCTCCCTCAGTTTACAAATGTCTCAGTGATTTACAAGAAAAAAGCATTCTTATCAGTAACTTGATCTATAGAAGGAAACTCTCAACTGTCTTGATGTTAATACGCCTTGCTAGAGGGAAAAACCACCTTAACTTGACAATGTCCAGGCCTCTAGTATCTTGTAGGTCCTCTTTAGCAGAGAAGTTCTTTTGAAAACCTCCCTTTTTCTTACATCCACCAACTCCCAAGTATATGATCAGTCACCCCTCACAACCCCGGGGCAGCAGCTCTTTCTGCCCACAGATCCTGTCCCTGTGCTTTAATAAAACACCGTTTTGCACCAAAGACATCTGAAGAATTCTTTCTTGGCTGTTGGCTCTGGGCCTCACCCCATCAACCTCACCTATATTCCAAAACTACATCAGTCTGCTAGCAGGTGACGGTGGGGCAGGGTGGGGTGGGGGGCTGGGTGCAGAAAGGAGCAGCTCAGGCCCTCAACCTGCTGACATTCACTGCCCAACTTCCCCGCCGCAACCAGCCAATTCCAAGGCCCACATTGCAAGGCCAGGATGTCCCAGCTGACCCCAGTCCTCACCCTTGTGTCCCCTCACCCCTTCCCTATTCAACCTAGGCCTCCCTTGGCTGAGCACCCCTCTCCAGACTCCACCTCCCTCCCTGCAGAGACCCTGTTCATTCCCTGCGTGAAGCCGGCTGTCCCAACCTGACAACAGATCCCCTGTGGGACCCTGCATCTTGATGGAGCGGCTCTCCTGCCCTGGTCTTCTGCCAGGCCACCTACCCTCACCTTGAGAAGGGGGCCACGTTCTCTCCCCACAGGCTCCCTCAGACTCTGGCTGGGGCAGACCTGGAAATGGACTTCAGAGTGGCATTTCCTGGACCCTCCCCCTCCCCTGAACGCACCCGATCTAGTCTGACCTCCTGTAGCTTCTTTTTTTTTTTTTTTCCCTCCTGTAGCTTCCTAGAAAAGCCGGGGTTTTGCTGAACCCACGTGACTGTTTGAGGTCCAGACGGTCCTGATTTCATTTCATTTCATTTCTCTTTCACGTGCTCTGAAATAACAGCAGTTGGAGGGGCTCCTGGGTGGCTCAGTCGTTAAGTGTCTGCCTTCGGCTCAGGTCATGATCCCAGGGTCCTAGGATCGAGCCCCGCATCCAGCTCCCTGCTTGGCCAGGAGCCTGCTTCTCCCTCTCCCTGCTTGTGTTCCCTCTCTAGCTGTCTCTCTCTGTGCCAAATAAATAAATAAAATCTTTAAAAAATAATAAATAGGGGGCGCCTGGGTGGCTCAGTCATTAAGCGTCTGCCTTCGGCTCAGGTCATGATCCCAGGGTCCTGGGATCAAGCCCCACATCAGGCTCCCTGCTCCGCGGGAGGCCTGCTTCTCCCTCTCCCACTCCCCCTGCTTGTGTTCCCTCTCTGGCTGTGTATCTCTGTCAAATAAATAAATAAAATCTTTAAAAATAATAATAATAATAATAATAAATAGGGGGGCCTGGGTGGCTCAGTCGTTAAGTATCTGCCTTCGGCTCAGGTCGTGATCCCAGGGTCCTGGAATCGAGTCCCACATCAGGCTCCCTGCTCCGCGGGAGGCCTGCTTCTCCCTCTCCCACTCCCCCTGCTTGTGTTCCCTCTCTCGCTGTGTGTCTCTCTCTGTCAAATAAATAAAATCTTAAAAAATAATAATAATAAATAGTCTTAAGTACGAAAAAATAAAAAAAAAGGCAGCTGGAATGTTCCTAGTGTGTGAGACAACTAAAAACTCCATGTGCGAGTGAGGGAGAGAGCGAGAGAGCTACCTCCTGGGCAGGCTATCCAACATGGCTGCGAGAGAAGGAGCCCAGGTGAAGCCCCTGACAGCAGGGCTGGCTGGTGCTGGAGATGGCGTTAATACTGGCCATTTGAAGAGTTCTCTGAGCTCGTTGTGTAAACCTGGCTTCAGGTCTGGCCCCTGTGTCCAATCCTGTCCCACAGTCTGCATCCCCTGCCCAGTACTCATTATAATCCCTGGAGCCAATGTTTTTAGCTAAAGACCCTTCCCCTGGGAGCTTGCAGCCTGGAGCCTTCAGTCCTGGGAGACTTCCTGGAGGAGGTGACTCTGGGCTTGGGAGGGCAGTGATTGACTTGCCCCTTAGCAATGACCATCAGGAAATTTTAAGGAAGAAAACGGTTTATTACTTACTAGACCTGGAGTTTCCACAGCGCACCTGGAGCCACACAGTCAGGCAGCTGGGGAGAGGGAGGGACAGGGAGAGGGGGAGGGCCAGGCTGGGGGAGAGAGAGAGAGAGAGGGCACTCATAGACAGGCCTGGGGTTCTGCTTTTATTGGGATCAGGAGTCCGAGGATTTTGCAGACTCACTCTACTGCTGAATTTAAAACATAAGAGCAGGAATTTAAAGCCGGGTGGGGGGGTGGACAGGCAGCCCACATGGTCGGTTATTGAAGCCAAACTCTCTGAAACAGAAGCCCAAGTGTGGGGCCCGAACTGGCGTTTTCTAGCGTGGCCGGCAACACGTTTATTTGAGATGGCCTTTGAAGTCGGCGCCTCTTGGAAAGGGATGCCTCAGCAATCAAAGTTTAAGCTGGGCACTTGCATCACCACAGAGGGAAAAGCCCGTGAGGGCTTACACTCCGATCCACACTCCGATCCGCACTCCGATCCGCCCCAAGTCCGCCAGGACTCTATGGGGCTAGCTAACAGGCTGCAGGTGGGGTTGGGCACGTTGTAACACAGAAAGTGCACTTCCACATAGGATTATGGTAGCAAATCCTATAAAAATTACACAGGCAGTAGTCTGGAATGTAGTCTGTAGCCATCGTCCCAAACTTGAAGGGGGGGGGGCAGCTCAGGTGATCTGTGCAGGGTTTTGGGTAATACTACCAGATATTTTAACATCTTGGGCCATTTAGTGTGTGGGGTGACCCAGGCGAGGGCCGGCCGCTCAGGCGGTAAAGGATTCACCGGAGGCAGAACAATGGAGATAGAAGTTGATAGAATAAACCGCAGGGAAGCAGAGGAGGGCAGGACAGCAGAGGAAAGGCTGTCTGTGGAGGGGATGGTGGGGGCTGTAGATAAAGGGGAAGGTGAGGAGGTATGGGAACGTATGGAATTTTCCTTTTGGGGTACCTGTGTCTGGGAGTAAGCAGCCCATTGTTTAGCTAGGGCTTATGGGTATTTTGAAGTGGGCTTCCTAATGGACCTGTTTTCAGTCAGCCAGGGAAATGGGGGTCACTGTGGGCCTTATTCAGGCCTCCACTGCTCAAGCTGGTCACCTGAAAGTGGCCTCTACATAGTGTGAGCAGGTTTGAACCTGTCCTGAGCTGGTAAATTGTTCCATAGCTCATCGAACCAGTTCTGAGTCCTGAGAAAAGGTCAGTTCAATTAAAGGTTATGTCTCATTTCAGAAGGTGGTGATGCAGGTGGACTTCCCAAGTTAAGCCTACAGTAGCCCCCCCCAACTTATCCACAGGGACACACTCCAAGGCCTCTAGTGGATGCCTGAAACTGTAGATAGTACCCAGCCCTACATATATTATGCTTTTCCTATATGTATATACCTCGGATAAGATTTAATCTATAAATCAGGCAAAGAGATTAACAGGAACTAATAATAAAATAGAACAATTATAGAAGTTATAGTAATAGTACTAATATACTGTATTATAATATATAAATTATACATAACATAACAATAAACCATAATAAAAGTTATGTGAGGGGCGCCTGGGTGGCTCAGCAGTTAAGCGTCTGCCTTTGGTTCAGTTTGTGATCCCTGGGATCCTGAATCCGGCTCCCTGCTCATCGGGGAGTCTGCTTCTCCCTCTCCCTCTGCCCCTCCCCCACTCGTGCTTGTGCTCGCTCTCTCTCAAATAAATATTTTTTTAAAAAGTTATATGAATGTGGCCTCTCTCTCAGAATACCTCATTGTACTATACTCAGCCTACTTCTTGCAATGATGTGACACGGTACAACAAAGATGAATGACTGGCGCAGACTGAGCCCTGAGGGCAGCCAATGGAGGAGACTTCTAGGTCTTCACAGCAAGGGCTCGAAATGTCTTCATAAGGAGGGAGGGCAGGCAGTGGCAATCTGGCAGATTTTCCTGGCTTGCAGTTTGAACGTCTCTGGTGATCCTTCTGAGGGGCCCACAGGCAACAGGCGTGAACACTGTCCATACGTGAACTGTTGGGGTGGTTTCTCTGAAGTCCGGATCAAGCTGTCCCACGTTAGCTTGCGTGGCTGGGGAAAAGGGCAGTTTTAGTTCTCAAGGATTCCAAGTCAGAGGGTGGGAGAAAAACTGGAAATGCTAAAAGTTTGGAGGGTTGCAGCCAAATACTGGAGGAAAGTGGAAGAATTGAGGATCTAGTCTAGGTGAAGACAAAACCCCAAAGATAATTACCGGCGTTAGAATAGATCCGTAAAGGCGTATTAACTGAAACATGACTGTTCCCTCTGCAATCACCCCGATTTTATCAAAGATAACCATAGCAAGACCGTTTTGTTTTCGAATTCAGTCTAGTTTCCATAAACTTGCCTTGATTATTTACCTACATGCAGCAAGAAGAGTGACTGACCACTGAGGCTCTTTTAAGTCGGCTTTGCTGGAACCTTTCATAAGGAATCTCACATTGAACTTGGAAAAGCCTTTCAGGCTAAGAAGCCAAGCCAAGAACTTCCTGTCAGACTTCACCTGGAATACCTTTAGATTTCAGTGAATTCCTCCCTTCTTGAGGTTCCTGGGCCTGTCTGGAGGCGACCTTCCTTACTCACATGATAAGGCTGCTGGGAACCCATTAGCAAGGTTATCAGGCTGATTTTTCCAAGGGGCTTTATTGGCTCTGTAAGACCAACCTTATTTCCTTAAAGCTGTCTGGTCATATCTGAGTCTACTCACATCTTTCTCAAATATGACATTCCAGTTAAAGCTTTGGTAATATGACCAGTGTTTCCGATAGTGTCCTGTTACAAGGGGAACAGATTCTTATGGAACTTACACAAATGAATATGTTGCTGTGAAAATGTAAGAATACTTGGAGTTTCCAAATTCTGGGGGGATCAGGTAGGGAGAAAAAGTAATTGTTTCATCTTTGTTTACAAAGGTAGACTTTACAAATTGCTATAGGTCATAGCTAGTGTAAGAGAAAGTTTCCTTAAATCTGGAAAACAAAAGATTAAAGAACCAGCAATGTTTCAAACAAAAGTCATAAAAATTTATAATCATCCCTATCAGTTCCGTCAGTCCCCTGAAATTAATTCTTGTTGATCTTGATCTTTTGTTGACAGTTTTATGAATCAGGTTTTCTTTAGAGTTGTGTAAATTCTTTCACGGTTGAGTGATGTGATCTGAATTATCAGAAACCCGTATTCTAGAGTGCCTATCAGTCCTTTCCAGGAATTTTTCTGAAGATGAAACAGTTTTGCAAAAGCATCAGAGTTCTACAATAACTGTCTGTATGTGACAAAAGACTTAAAAATGGCCACGGTTAAAGATCTGATGAGAGGGGCACCTGGGTGGCTCAGATGGTTAAGCGTCTGCCTTCGGCTCAGGTCATGATCTCAGGGTCCTGGGATCGAGTCCTGCATCGGGCTCCCTGCTCCTTGGGAGCCTGCTTCTCCCTCTGCCTCTCTCTCTCTCTCTCTCTCTCTGTCTCTCATGAATAAATAAATAAAATCTTAAAAAAAAAAAAAGATCTGATGAGAGTTCATTACAAGGCAATTGACAAGGAAATTTGATTATTTTGGTGACACATTTTAAGATGATAACTGGAATAATGACTGATAATATTATATATCAGACTTTTAGGAGTTTCGTATAGTTTCTGGAACACTTATATTAATAACATATCTATATTAGAATATTAATAAAGAGGGGCACCTGAGTGGCTCAGTCATTAAGTGTCTGCCTTCGGCTCAGGTCATGATTCCAGGGTCCTGAGATCAAGCCCTGCATCAGGCTCCCTGCTCAGCGGGAAGCCTGCTTCTCCCTCTCCCACTCCCCCTGCTTGTGTTCCCTCTCTCCCTGTGTCCCTCTCTGTCAAATAAATAAATAAAATATTAAAAAAAAAGGATATTAATAAAGAATTTACAGCACTATTTCTTATTTGAAATGCTTCCCATGTAATGTCACATATCAAATAAGACTAATTAGTTTAATGTCTCTCTTCTTAAAAGGACAGAAAATAAATGTTTCGAGATGTTCCATAAACATTCTTGAAAAAATCCCAAAATTATTTCCAGGTCAAAAGACTTCATTTAGAATTTTATTTCGGGGGTGCCTGGGTGCAGTTGGTTAAGCATCTGACTTGATCTCAGCTCAGGTCGTGGTCTCAGAGCCCTGAGACAGACCCATGTGTTGGGCTCCACACTCAGCGTGGAGTCTGCTTAAGATTCTCTCTCTCTCTCCCTCTGCCTCTCCCACTTGTGATCTCTTTCTCTCTAAAATAAATAAAATCTTAAAAAAAAAAAAAGAATTTGATTTTGGGAAGTTTGTCAAAAATATCAAAAGGTTTTGGGCACTTGACTAAATAGGATCACAAATAATTATGAAATAATACTTACCCTTTAACCAAAGTAACAAAAAGATTTCAAAGGTGAATATAGGTAACATAGATCTGAGCAAAACCTAGGTCTTTTAATATGGAGAAGACCCAGTTTACTCAAGTAATCAAAGACTTGATGATACAGATAAGAGGAAGCACAGGAAATTATTTTGATAAAACACAGGATCTTGGTTTTCTAGGCAGATTACTTAAAAGGTAAAGAAAACCCTGATAATCTCTTTTCAGGAGCAGATCAATAGTTCAAGAAAATTTTGTCCTTTGAGCATATGAAAGAATTAAGTTTTAGTTTAATTTTTTTATTTTATGATTTTATTTATTTATTTGAGAGAGAGTGTAAGAGAGAGATCATGAGCAGGGGAGAAGGGGGGAGTGGGGAGGGGCAGAAGTAGCCACCCAGGTGTCCCTAAGTTTTAGTTTTAGATTAGTATACTATCACTACTAAAGCCTATTTTTAAAGATTAAAAAAATTGGGGGGAGGCCTGGGTGGCTCAGTAGGTTAAGTGTCTGCCTTCGGCTCCGGTCATGGTCCCAGGGTCCTGGGATCGAACCCAGCATCGGGCTCCCTGCTCAACGGGGAGTCTGCTTCTCCCTCTCCCACTCCCCCTGCTTGAGTTCCCTCTCTCTCACTGTGTCTCTCTCTGTTAAATAAATAAATAAAATCTTAAAAATGGGGAGTTCCTGGGTGGCTCAGTCAGTTAAGCATATGCCTTCGGCTCAGGTCATGATCTCAGGGTCCTGGGATCGAGCCCTGCACTGGGCTCTCTGTTCAGCAGGGAGTCTGCTTCTCCCACTCTCTGCTCATGCTCTCTCTCAAATAAATAAATAAAATCTTAAAAAAAAATTTTTTTTTTTTTTAAGTGATCTCTACACCCAACCTGGAGATCAAGAGTGGTAGTCTCCGGGGACTTAGCCAGCCAGGCGCCCCAAGCCTATTTTTAAAAGCATTTTTTTTTTTTTAAGATTTTATTTATTTATTTGAGAGAGAGAGAATGAGAGAGAGAGAGAGCACATGAGAGGGGGGAGGGTCAGAGGGAGAAGCAGACTCCCCAGTGAGCAGGGAGCCCGATGCGGGACTTGATCACGGGACTCCGGGATCATGACCTGAGCCGAAGGCAGTCGCTTAATCAACTGAGCCACCCAGGCGCCCACCCCAAGCCTATTTTTAAAACCCTTAAAATAGCCATTCCATTTTTAGCCAACTTGACCATACAAGATCCCCTGGCCCCCAATTTCTCTTTCTCTTCTCAACTTTCTATGTGCATAGTTTGTTCTTTATTTTCCTCTTTCTCATTCTGAAATCATCAGCTTTACTTTAGGACAAAATTACTTTGGGGACACCTGGCTGGCTCAGTCGGTGGAGGCTGCAACTCTTGCTCTCGGGGTTGTGAGTTTGAGCCCCACGGTGGATGTAGAGATTACTTAAAAATAGGACAAAATTACTTTCTTTTTCCTTATTATTTCTATTTTTTTTTTTTTTTTAAGATTTATTTATTTGACACAGAGAGAGAGACAGCTAGAGAGGAAACACAAGCAGGGGGAGTGGAAGAGGGAGAAGCAGGCTCCTGGCTGAGCAGGGAGCCCGATGCGGGGCTCGATCCCAGGACACTGGGATCATGACCTGAGCCGAAGGCAGACGCTTAACAACTGAGCCACCCAGGCGCCCCTCCTTATTATTTCTAATAGTTTTTTTTTTTTAAGATTTTATTTATTTATTTGACAGAGAGACACAGCCAGAGAGGGAACACAAACAGGGGGAGCGGGAGAGGGAGAAGCAGGCTTCCCGCTGAGAAGGGAGCCTGATGCAGGGCTCGATCCCAGGACCCTGATGCAGGGCTCGATCCCAGGACCCTGGGATCATGACCTCAGCCGAAGGCAGACGCTTAATGACTGAGCCACCCGGGCGCCCCTCTAACAGTTTAAATGACATATATTAATTAAATGACATATATTAATGTATTAATGACATGCATTAATTTCTAGTGCAAACTAAGAAGTATGCAATTTTTTGTGAAATGCTACACAGAATCTTTTAGATTGTCAAACTTATGAATATATCTCTTAATTCCTAGGAACACAACATTTCCTCATAGTGCAATTTTTCCCAATTAAAATGTAGCAATGTCATCCTATAATTAAGGGGAATGCCCTGTGAAGAATAATTCTCTGGACTCAGGGTCAAATGGGGCCTCTTGAGGGTTGGAAATAGAGGGTCATTTGGGTCACTATGATCACAGAAATGATCAGCCCATTGGACCGTGCCAAATGTGCACAGGAGATGGGCCTCATCTTAATGTTTGCTGTTCCCTGTGAGCCTTGGCCGTGATCGCAGTATGGGCACGGCGCCAGGCAATAAATATCCAAGTGAAGAGATGGTATGAGTATTTGTGGCTCTGCGGGCCTTTGCCTCCCCTTTTCCCTCTGCCCTCTCACTAGAGACCTTGATAGCCCTGTCAGCTTTTCCCTTGGTGGCAGGGACGCCAGAAATTTTTGGATGATGTCACTATGAGCCCTCTTTGCAGGGGGCCGCTTTCCTTTCCAGGGTGTCCCACGAGACCTCCCTGGAGTTAGGGTAGGCCTGCACCTGCGTGCTATGTGCAGGACCTTTGGGAAAAGCCCCGGGCCTCTGGAGTGGTATACGAGTCTTAGCATGTTGGTATGTATGGCACTGAGTAATGTCCAGAAGCTTCTAGGGGTTTGCGTTGCTCAAGGAGCGGGTACACCTCCTCAGGCTTCTTCCGAAGTGCAGGCACCAGCTTTTCAGGACATTTATACTTGTCTGTTAATTATTTAGCAATATCACACCAGGAATAGGATCCATGTCAGGGGATGAAGAACGACAGCAGTGAGTGAGGTGATGGCCCAGAGACCATGGCCTTTGTCGTACTTTCCCTCTGGTGCCAGCTTTGGTTTCCAGTTGCAAGGTATGTGACTCTTCTGGGTAAGGATGTGGAGTCAGGGCACGGCCCACTGACTGTAGTCGCCAGCATATGTGTTGTGTCCTGCTCACCAGTGAGAATCTCTTCCTCGCTCTTTCAGCCCTAGCCTCCCCTTGGGCAAGGCCACTAGCCTCGAGATCCAACCCCCTCTGCTTAGCTCTCCTTGGCCTTGAGATGTGGAGCATCCTCACACACATTAACAGTCAATTAAGGCTTTATAATTCGTGGTCTAATCATCTCGGTAGACCACATGGCCTTGATCGCTGCTCTGGGGAGATCATTGGATAATTACGGCAGCTGTGCCCTTTTGGGGTTGGATTCTGCAGGCAACACAGGACAGAGGCAATTTGCAAAAGCACAAAACAACATGAACAGCTGCCTGTGAGTGGTGCTAGTTTTCCAGATGGTGCTACCCACCTGCGTGAGTTAGGCTGTTAGGAAGCACGCTGCAGGTGAAGACATTCCCCTCAGTTAATTGCAAGGGCAATCATGCAATCCTGCCAACTTCGCCAGTTGCTTTGTGCAGAGCTTATCAATACCGGTGTTGCAGCTGGACCAGCCCTTGTGGTTCTTATTATGATTGCAAGATGACCTTCAGCAATAACCATCAGGAACCTGTGGGGGAAAAAAAGGCTTATTACTTCAGGACGAGGAAATTATATAACACACCTGGGGTCACGCAGTGAGGTCTCTGGGTGGGGGGGGAGCCCAAGCTCGGAAGGGTAGGCTCACAGGCTCGGGGTTCTGCTTTTGTTGGGGTCCAGGGTGCAGGCCTAGGGTTTCACAAACTCACTTATTGCTGAATTTAAAACGTAAGAGCAGGAATTTACAGCTGGGGGGTAAGGGGGATGGACAAGTGGCCCAAGTGGTCAGTTATTGAGATCAACCAAACTCTCTAAGATAAAGGAACCTTGGTTGGGGGAGGTGGCCTGGCTCATTAGTGCAGCTGGAAATGTGTTTGAAATAACCAGCTTTTTTTTTTTCCCCAAGGGATGCCACTTTGAAATGGATGCTGTGGCAATCAAAGCTTAAGTTAGGCACCTGCATTACCAAACCAAACCCAAGTGTCAGGGCTGACTACAGAAGCACTTAGGTTTTCCCCATCTTTTTGTATTAGAAATTGTGCCAACACTGTACTTGCAAGCCTGTCTCAGCTGTACCTTCAGTCTGCAGGCGACTCTGCGGCTCCCCTAGCAAGCAGCTCCCTCATGGCACTGGGGGCTCTGCAATGTGGGGCTAAGATGTTGCTCATGACCTGAGCCAAAGGCAGACGCTTAACGACAGAGCCACCCAGGTGCCCTGGATTTTATAATTTTTAAGTGATGGGGGCACCTGGGTGGCTCAGTCAGTTAAGCGTCTGTCTTCAGCTCGGATTCCAGGGTCCTGGGATCGAGCCCCACGTCGAGCTCCTTGCTCTGCGGGGAGCCCGCTTCTCCCTCTCCTCCCCACTTGTACTCTCTCACTGTCTCTCCTCTCTCTCTCAAGTAAATAAATAAAATCTTAAAAAATAATAATTTTTAAGTGATGGGATTTGGTTGATCTTTTACCTTTCAGCGTTTCTTGTTTTTTCCCCAGTATTTTTTTTTTTAAAGATTTTATTTATTTTGACAGAGAGAGATACAGCGAGAGAGGGAACACAGCAGTGGGAGTGGGAGCGGGGAGCCCGATGCGGGGCTCGATCCCAGGACCTGGAATCATGACCTGAGCCGAAGGCAGACGCTCAACGACTGAGCCACCCAGGCGCCCCGATTTTTCCCCAGTATTTTTAAATACAAAAGTGCCAAGCCTGGTAGTTATAATTCACCTGAATTTTCATAAAACAATCCGAAGAAAATAAAGTTACTGCTTTTATTTCATTTTGTTTAAGTTTATATTTTTTAGTAATCTCTCTACCCAACATGGGACTCAAACTCACTACCTGGAGATCAAGAGGTTCATGCTCTTCCAACTGAGCCAGCCAGGCGCCCCTAAAGTTATTGCTTTGATTTTTTAAATTTTTAAATTTTTAATTTTTTTTTAAAGATTTATTTGAGAGAGCGTGTGTGTGTGTGCACTTGAGCAGGGGGAGGGGCAGAGGGAAAGGAAGAGAAAGAATCCTCTAGCAGACTCCCCAGCTGAGCATGGACATCCATGCAAGGCTCAACCCCAGGACCCCAAGATCACAACCTGAACTGGAACCAAGAGCCAGACGCTCAACCTACTGAGCCACCCAGGTGCCCCAAATTACTGTTTTTATTTTTATTTTTTTAAGATTTTTATTTATTTATTTGAGACAGAGAGAATGCGAGAGAGAGAGAGAGAGAGAGAGAGAGCACATGAAGGGGGGGAGGGTCAGAGGGAGAAGCAGGCTCCCTGCCGAGCAGAGAGCCCGATGCAGGGCTCGATCCCGGGACTCCAGGATCATGACCTGAGCCGAAGGCAGTTGCTTAACCAACTGAGCCACCCAGGCGCCCGAAATTACTGTTTTTAAAGCTGTGGAAACTCCCAAATCTTAGAGAACGTCCATTCCAAGAAAGAAGGAGTGGCGAGGGGACAGTACTGACCTGGGCCAGGGCGTGCTGCGCAAAGCCTGCTGCGCGCGGCAGAGGAGGCTGTCCCGGCGGCCTGTGGCAGGTCTTCCCTCATCGGGCTCCATTAAAATTAAAAACCTTTGTGCACGAAAGGATACTAGCAAAACAGGAGAAACAATCCACAACATGGGAGGAAATAGTCACAGATCAGAAATCTGATAAGGAATTAATACCCATAGTATATAAAGAAGTTTTGTAACCAAATAGCAAAACCAAAACCAAAACCAAACCAAACCAAAACAAAAACCAAAAAACCAATTTAAAAAAAATGAACAAAGGACTTGGACATTTCTCCAAGGAAGATATTCAAATGAACAAAAAGCACATGAGAAGAGGCTCTGAGTCCTCAGAGAAACGCAAATCAAAGCTACAATGACATAGCACTTCACACCCACTAGCATGGCTGGAATCAAAAAGGCAGATAACAAATGTTGGTGAGGATGTGCAACATTGGAACCCTCCTTTGTCCACTGCTCGTGGGGATGGGAAATGGTGCAGCCCCAGTGGAAAACAGTGTGGCAGTTCCTCAAAAAGCTTAAATGGGTATTGCTGGGTCACCTAATCCTAGGTGCACATCTGAGAAATAAAAACATATGTGCACACAAAAAGTTGTATACCAACATTCATAGCAGCATTATTCACAATAGACAAAGTGTGGAAACCCAAATGTCCGTCAATGAATGAATGGATGAATACAGTGTGGTCTACCCACTCAATGGAATACGTTTGGCCATGAAAAAGAATGAGATTCAGACACCTGCTACAACGTGGATAAACCTTGAAAACATGATGCTAAGTGCAATAAGCCAGACACAAAAGGAGAAATATTGTGTGATTCCATGCATGGGGTACCTAGAACAGGCATATTTATAGGGACAGAAAATAGAATAGAGGTTACTGGGGCTGGGGGAAGGAGGAAGAAAGGAGTTATTGTTAACAGGGACAGCGCTTCAGTTCAGATGATGAAAAAGTTCTAGAAACGGATGGTGGTGATGGCTGCAAAACACTGTGAGTAGACTTAAAGCTACTGAACTGGACACTAATGGTTAAAATGGTATATTTTATATTATGTACATTTTACCACTACACTAAAATACCGTTTCTCACATCAGCTTAGCAGAAATTGGAAAGTACAGCAACCCATTTTGTTGGCAAGGCTGTGGGAGAGCAGGCCTTCTCATATTTTGCTTCTGGGAGGAATCTATGTGTCTTTACCTTTTTTTCTTTTTTTTTTTTAAGATATATTTATTTATTTTACCACACAGGTCCACTCGCCTGCTGTTCCTCACACTGGCCGAGTGAGAGAGGGAGAGAGAGAGACTGCGTGTGTGGGCAGGAGGTGGGCAGAGGGACAGGGAGAGAAGCAGACTCCCTGCTGGTGTGTGTTGGGGGGAGCCTGCCCAGGGGCATGACCCTGAGATCAGGAACTGAGCCAAAATCAAGAGTGGCATGCCCAACCCACTGAGCCACCCAGGCGCCCTACTTGTCTTAGCAATCGTAATTCTAGTTTACCTTAAAGGTACACCCTCAACAATATGAAAATGCCTCTGACCTGGTTACTCATGGCAGCTTGGTTGGTGATTATAAAATATTGGAAACAATTTAGATGTTCATACATAGAAGAGTGGTTGAATGAAAAGTCCATCCACACATCTCTGAACTGATGTGGAATGATTTCTAGGCTCTGTTGCTAAGTGTAAAAAGGGAAGTGTGAAGGAGTATCTATAACGTGCTACCTTTGTGTTCAAAAGAAGGGGAATTAAGAAAATAAACATTTGCCTCCTCACTTGAGTATAGAGAAACCTAGGAAAGAAAACCCAGAGAGGACTGAGATTGATTTTAGAAGGTAGTTGGCAGGAATTGAACAGAGAGAGGGAATGAGGGAGAAGCCATTTCTCTGAATAGACCTTTTCGTGCAGACCTGACTTTTGGAACTATGTTATTGTTTTACATATTTGAAAAAATAAAATAAAATCTTCCAAGGATGGGAGAAAAAAATCCCCAAATTTATTCATTCATTCATTTATTTATTTATTTTAAAGATTTTATTTATTTGACAGAGAGAGAGCGAGAGAGGGAACACAAGCAGGGGGAGTGGAAGAGGGAGAAGCAGGCCTCCTGCGGAGCAGGGAGCCCGATGCAGGGCTCGATCCCAGGACCCTGGGACTACGACCTGAGCTGAAGGCAGACGCCTAACGACTGAGCCACCCAGGTGCCCCCCAAATCCCCAAATTTAATACAAACAGAATCAAATGAACCAAAGCATTCTTTTTTTTTTTTTTTAAAGATTTTATTTATTTGACAGAGAGAGACACAGTGAGAGAGGGAACACAAGCAAGGGGGAGTGGGAGAGGGAGAAGCAGGCTTCCCGTGGAGCAGGGAGCCCGATGTGGGACTCGATCCCAGGACCCTGGGACCATGACCTGAGCCGAAGGCAGTTGCTTAACGACTGAGCCACCCAGGCGCCCCAAAGCATTCTTTCAAGGGAGTAACATAAACACACTCAAAGGTGAGAAAAAATAAAAGCAGTAACTCAAGTAACTTTTAAATATAGTATTTAGGGCATATGCCCCCAGCCTAAAGACAAAAAGAACTCTAAACAAATATTTAATTCCAATTGGATTTGGTAGGCTTCACCCTACCCCCCCCCCATATAGATGAAACATTCTGAAGCTACTTTTTGGAATTCTAGCAAATTGAGCACCTAAATAAAAGAAACCAAGTACCTCCGGGTTGGAAAACGGAGTTACAAATACTGAGTGGGAGAAGAAAGAATGAACCCTGCAGGATTGGGTTGGAATTAGACAGTGTAAACTCTTGGATGTACACATGCCATCCATTTCCCAGCTCTGTTCTCCAAGAAGTAATGATGCCACAGTAACTCTAACTGTACAGCAGAGAAACCACACTGACCACCCTTCATAAACACACAAACTCTGGAAAGTATGTACCTCTTCATGTTATGCAGTGAACAATCACTTCCGTGATCTCTCCTGCCCAAAGTGTGGAACCTGAATCTAAACAGGATGAAACATCAGACAGACCCAACTTGAGGGACATTCTACAAAATAAATGGCCCATATTCTCCAAAACTGGCAATGTCATGAATTGCAAAGAATTATGAACTGTTCCAGATTAAAGGCGTCCAAAAAAGACATAACTGAATGCAATGGATGCACGATTTTGAATTTTTTACTATGAAGGATTTATTGGAGCAACTGACACTTCAATAAGGTCTGCAGATTATTGTATTCAGTCTTATTTTCCTGATACTGAAAACTGGACTGTGGATATGTAAGGGAATTCGCTGTTCTCCTCATAAAAAAGAGTGAACACTCATCCATGAGATTGTCACGAGATCAAATCAAATGTGCTGATTCACATACTGAATTCAGCACAAAACGTTGGGTAAATACAGGGAAGGATCATCATTGGTAAGAGGATCTCACAGGACAAGGTGGGTTTTAAGAAACCACCAGCTCGGGTGCAGAACGACTAGGCTTCAACAGGGTCTCCTGGGCCACTCGAAGGGTTCCACTCACGGAAGCGGGATCCGCAGGTGCCCAGGTTCCAGGAGGCAGGGTTTCAACAAGGCCCCGGGCGCGGCCAGCGGGCCAGTGTTCCCACACGAACCAGCGGGCCTTCCAGTTCCAGCTCCCGAGAGCCGGCAGATTAAAAAGGAAATTTGGTAATAGCCAATACAGAGCCCCAAACTCAAAGGCACGGCCGCCGGATTCTGGGACTTTCGCCCACTGGGTCCCGGTGAAGGTGCCAGAACCCCGAGATGACCGGTACCGCCAAGGGCGAGCCCAAGGTCGGCTGGCCGGCGGCAGGCTCTGTGCCCAGCTGCTTTCAGCTCTGTTTCGAGACAGCACAGCTAGTTCTCCGGCTTAAAAAATAGTCATTAAAATGGTCACGGGAGACACTCTGCATGGGGTGAAAAATTAAGGGTGTTTGTGACGTTTCTGCCCTGCCACGTTGAGCCCGTCCCGGGTTCTGTAGAACATGGCGTCGCCGCCCGGCCGCCTTACCCGCAATACTAGTACGAAAATCATCCCCAAGGGCAGCCAGCCCGGTTCAGCACCGTCTGCAGCGTGGAAGCTGCCAACACATCGGCCAGCTAGTGTAGCCCTCGCCTCAGGCCCTGGGCCTGAACCCGGCCTCTTAAGTTAGGAGCGTGCCCGCCGCTTGGAGTCTGCGGGGCTTCTCCCGGGTGCGGAAGGCCGGGGGTGAAGCGGCGGGAGGCACACCCCGAAGGGCCCATGATCACAGAGAAGCAGCTCTGTCGCTAGACTCGGACCATCAATTCCAAACATGGGGAGACAAAATGGCGGCCGTGTCCCCGGCAGAAGCCACATACGGGTTCCGCGGCACGCAGGACCTACAACTCCCAGAGTGCTCTGGGTCGAAAGTGGGAGGGCGGGGAGCGCGCTAGCATCCCTCGATGTGGCCCTGGGCCCTGGGCCCCGCCCCCTCCCAGCGGAAACCCTGTGGAATACGTGGCCCGCTCCGGTCCGCTCACCCGCCCTTCTTCGCACTGGCCGAAGGGACTCGTAGTTCACTGGCAACGGTGTTGACCCTCCCTCGGGTCTTAAGAAACTACAGTTCCCGATGTAGCTTCCGCGCCTGCGCACAACGCCGCAGGGCGTACTACGGTTCCCGGCGGGCCCTGCGACGCGCGCGGGTGCGTGCTGACGCACTTAGTTGGTCGTGCTGACGTGCAGCGCGGCCCAGGCGGGGTGCGAGTGGCGCAGTCGGAGCCCGCTGCGGCCCCTGAGGAAGCGAGGAGGCGTCGGTGTCGGCTGAGGCGGGCGGACCGGCGAAGCGAGGCGGCAGTTCCAGGCCCCGAGGGACTCGGGAGCTTGAATAGCAGCGGCGGCAGCACCTCTCCCCCTCGGAGGCGGCGGGTGGAGGCGGCGGCGGCGGGTGAGAGGGTGAGGGAGCGCGCGAGCCGGGTGGGGGAGGGGCGGCGGCCCCCGGCGCGAGGCCAAAGCGCGCGGAGAACGGTCCAGGCCGCCGCGCGCACGCGCGCTCGCCGCCCCTAGCTCACGCGGACGCCCTCGCTCGCCTGCCTCCCCCCCCCACCCCCCGCCTTCCTTCGGTTCCTGTCGCGCGCGGGCTTTTACTGCCCTTCCCCTCCCCCATGGCAACGGCTCGCGCCGCCGACTGCTCTCGGGCTCGCGCGCGCTCGCGACGAGGACGGGAAGCGTTCGCCTCGGCATTTCGCCTCCCCCACGCGTGCGGCCGAGGAGGCCCTCCCGCGGCTGCCCCTTCCGACATTTTCTCGGCGGGGAGGCGGCGGCGGCGGGGGCCTGCTCCCGGATCTCTTTCTTCGAACCTCTCCGGCCTCCGGCTTCCCAGTTCCTCCCGCGGGCCTGCGGTCCGGCGCGGAGCCTCCCAGACTCCTGGGCGCCACGCAGCCCCCTCCCCCATGCCTCAAGGCCGAAAATAGGCCTTGGCGGCGCCGCCGCTGCAGGGAGGCCTGGGACTGGGTGCCGCGCATATTGGGGCCCTTCAGACTCGTTACTGTCGGTCTCGAAGCGGTGGGGAGAGGAGAGCTCCAAACCTTGGTTTTCTTTTTTTCTTTTTTTTTTTGAAAGACGTGTTCAGCTCAGGTACGTAAAGGCAGACCGTGTACTTTTCTTTTTCATAAGTGTGTTTTTAGTTTTCCACTTACTCGTTGTCTTTCAAAAGTTGTGTTAAAGCTGGGGAGGCCGTTGGAGCCCTTGGGAAGAAAACGCTGGGCGCCGACTCAGGGATTATTTGGCACCCAACCCTTATGAACCTTCGTTTCCACTCACGCTTATCTAAGATGTCGTCTGGACCAAAAACTCAAAAAGAGCGTCTCGTTGTCTTTTAAGTGTGTGGCTTTAGGTTTTGTCTTGGAACTATTTAAAATTTTGGGGGTTCCATGGTGTCCGCCCAGCTACCAAAATGCCCCCTTACTGCGCTTACCTATGTCCATTTTCCTGCATACCCACCTCGTTTTTGGCGCGTTCCTTTTTTATCTCAGTATTGAATTTCCAGATTGCCTTATATCTCTTTGTTTGGCGTCGTGATTAAATTTTCCAGCAAAAATTCTGTTGTCTTGCTTTGCAGCTTATATTTATTCTTTGACTTTAGCTTGGGTAGGTTGAGTGCTCACAGTTTGTGGACCCCAGTTAAGAATGCCTGTTTAAGTTACCTGGTTTTGATGATTTTTCTGTGTGTTGGTGTTCCTCTTTGGTCTTTCCTTTTAGTGTTTTGAGGGCTGTTTTGCCCCGGGGCGGGGGGGGGGGGGGGACTTGTTCCCTAAAAGTTCTACAATTCGTTGTGTTTTAAAACCCTTTCCTTAGCTATTGGTTTTCCCTCCTAAGGGAGTGGGAGGATATTTGTGTGAGGTGGTATGGAAGTGTGGGTGAATGGTTAAGCTAAAGAATTAATTGTATGTGAGAAGCATTCTGTAAGGGAGGCAGAAATTAGGTGGGGTTTAGAGAGGCAAAGAAGGACCTAGGTTTAGAGTGGGGAGGGTTGGTATTTGAGAAAACAAAAGTGAAGGTTGGAAGATAGAGAAACTGATTTCTTGTGCTGTAAAGAGATTTTTCTTTTTTTTGAATGTGCATTTCTACTTTTCCTAGATTTAGCCTCATTTGTTATTCCTTTACCTTAGTGTTGTTTTCTTTTTGTTTTCAGCCCTCTTGAGTGCTACTGGGATTGGGCAAGGATCCAGCCTTTAGAGTTTGGGGATAGAGGTACAAGCAGTTCTGGAATTGGGCAATTTTCCTTCCATTCACTGTCTTCCCATACTTATTTTTGTTGTTGTTTGTTTTAGTACATTCTTCCAGGTATTTGTGTGCTGTTTTTTTATTCTGGAATTTTAAAAAGATAGCATTTCTTTTTATTCAGTTTTATCTATTAATCTCTCCACTTGTTTCTTGGGTTTTGTCTGGGGGTAGTTTTCCCTCATTTATGCTTTGTGAAGCTGTCTTCGACAGGATGAGATGGGGGAAGAAATAAAGTGCATATAATAGGGAAAAGGAATAGAGTATGCGTAGCTAAGAAATCTAACCAGAAGAATGGGAGCTTGAGGGCTCTTCAGAGCCATGCTGGGGTAGGGACAGGTTGAGAGGATAGAACTTGGTAGAACGCACGGAGATAAGATGAGAGGGATAAGGCAGGCCTCGAAGAGAAACTCTAGGAAGTGAGATACAGGGTATTGATAGGGAAAGCTGACTGATGTTAGTGAATGGGGGGTATAAAGAGGGGGCTTCTGAGTAAGTTTAGGGCAAGGAATGTAGAGGGTATGGGAACAGTTGGAGCAGAGGAGGCTGATTTGATGTATTCAGAGCATTGAGTTGAAAACAGGTGATGTTAAAGAGGAACTAATGAGACTCGGGTGAGCTGCAAATCATGTAAGAAATCCAATGGGAAGGAAATTAAAGGAATAAGATACCAGGTGAGGTAGTTGATAGGAACTTATTGATAATTGGAATCCAGGAAATGGTCTCTTACCTCTGGGAGGTAAAATACAAGAGGATTCTACATCCAAGGTTCTGTGTTTCTGATACGCTTACTGGCCTTTATTCTTGAATGTGAGGGTGTACAGGACACTTGGCTTATGTCAGGAACCAATCCGTCCACCTGTTCAAATATGTAGGGGTTGTTTAGTCTGTTTTGTTTTCATAACAGTGTAGTCTGAAGTTCTCAGGTCAGTTCTTAGAAGAATCTTTGAACTTGTATTGTGGGCCTTAGTGGCCACAGATCTGTGGTGGTGGTTGTGCGCTGTTTGGAGGCCTCAGTAGGTTACCAGATGTTAGGAATTAGATTAGTTGGTGGAGACAACACTTGTGCTTATTGGGGCCAAGGGAGAATAAAGAGGCAGTGTGGAGAAATTAGAGAGAAACGGGTTTCTTGTTTTCTTAGGATGGAAAAGAACATCTAGGTGCAAACAGAAATGGAAATAGCTCTTGCACTTTGGGGGGAAAGGTTGTAAGAGCTGGGCTGTGATTTTAATGGAAAGTATGGGAAGGATAAGGAAGGGTTTTTTTAGGAGACCAGGAGGATTAAGTAGCTAAAGGAGGTTTAGTGTGGAGATTCATGTTGAAATAGATGAAGGAGAACAAGGATTTGGGTGGTGGTAAGTGGTTAGTTTGGGGTCAGGGGCCTGACCCGTGTTTCCCCGCTCCCCCTCAGGAGCGGTGGTGCCCCCCCCGGGCACGGGGCCATGTACAACGGGATCGGGCTGCCGACGCCCCGGGGCAGCGGCACCAACGGCTACGTCCAGCGCAACCTGTCCCTGGTGCGGGGCCGCCGGGGTGAGCGGCCTGACTACAAGGGAGAGGAGGAACTGCGGCGCCTGGAGGCTGCCCTGGTGAAGCGGCCTAATCCTGACATCCTGGACCACGAGCGCAAGCGGCGCGTGGAGCTGCGATGCCTCGAGCTGGAGGAGATGATGGAAGAGCAGGGGTGAGGGGAGGGCTGGGGGAGAGCCAAGCACTGAGTGAGTGCAGAGCTGGGGGAATTAGGTGGGATGTAGGGAGCTTAGGGCTGGTTGAAGAGGCCTGAGAGGAGTTGTAGGAGGGGAGGAGATAAAGGAGCTAGAAAATGGAAGGGAGTTAAGGGACAGCTCAAGGTGGGAGATGAGGAAACTGTGTCTGTGACAAGAGGAAGCCTCAGGGAGTCTGAATTATTTAGGTGGAGGCACATGGGGAAAGAGGGGAGCCATAGAAAAACAAAAATGTGCTTTAAGGGGAGGTGGGAAAGCAGGTACCAGGGAAGAGAAGAGCTAAGGTATAAGCTGACAGGTGGTATTGGTAGAGAAGAGGAAGTAAATGGATTGAAGGATTGAGGCTTTGGAAAGTACACAAAGGCAGGAAAACAGGAATTGGAATAATACCTGGATAAGAGGGAATCATGAGTTGGGTAGGGAAATGAAATTTTGGAAAAGGGGCACAGTCAGGCAGAAGAGCTTTTAGAGCAGTGGTTTTCAAACTTCAGCAGTGGCACCCTTCTTACACAATGTACTTTCGGAATCTCAGGAAATACCTGTTGTTGAAGTTGGGGAGGAGCAGCACCTGGAACTCTGTTTAACTTTCCTCTTTTGGCCCCTGGAGTGTAGCATGTTTAAAATCCACTGTTCTAGAGGCTATAGTAAGTGGAGAGAAGATAACAGGAAAAGATGAGAAAGATTTAAGAGAAAGGCCCTTTGGGGGACAGTGAGTTGAAAAGTTTTTATGTGTGCATGGAAAGGGAAGGGATCCTCTTGGGAATGAGGAAACTGTAAACCCGGGACTGGGGAAAGTGCCTAGTCAAACTTTAACCCTGAAGGGATTTGTTCTTTAGGTACGAGGAACAGCAAATTCAGGAAAAGGTGGCTACCTTTCGACTCATGTTGCTGGAGAAGGATGTGAACCCTGGGGGCAAGGAAGAGACCCCAGGACAGAGGCCAGCGTGAGTGTTTTCACTATCACTTATTTCCTTTGGACGCTGAATAGCTGCTTCTGTTATTCTCTCTTCTTGTACATTCTCCCTGCTCTTATCTTCTTTTCCCTGGCCCATTTGGCTGCCTACAATTGTGTGAATATGACTCTGTTCTTTGCTAACTCCTTCTGACCTTTGCCTTTTTTCCCCCTAGGGTAACTGAGACTCACCAGTTGGCAGAACTGAATGAGAAGA